CCGCCTCCGCCATTTTGGGACGCCGGCCGTGTCGCCGGAGGAGCCTGCGCCTCAGACTCATGGCGCCCTCCCGCCCCGCCCGGGACCGCCCCTCAGGCGGCTGCTCTGCCTTTGCTCGCCCGCCTCAGCCTTCCTTGGCCGGCGACGAAGGTAGGGCGTGAGGCAGGTTAGTGACGGTAGCCCGAAAACCCGGTACCTGTGGAGGACCGCTGCCTTGGGGTGTGCCAGCTGCTCCCGCTCCTCTGTGGGCGCGCCGTGCTGCCGCGTGCCCGCTCCCTCAGCGGGGCTTGGGGCAGCCTCCTTAACCCCCTTCTGGGCTTTCAGGTTCACCTTTGAGCAGGGCGCCTCTTAATTTGGGCCTTGCTTGGGTGCCGAGGTGTTGCTGGCGAGCCCTCGGGGCAGCGGGTTTTGACTCAGGTGGGCCAGTTCCACCACTGCTCTCCCAGGCCAGCCTGGGCACCAGCAGGTGGGAAGCAGGGAAGGAAAGCCCTCTCCTTATCATGTTTGTATCAAAGTGAGTCACTTTTCACCGAAGAGCACAGGTTCTTCTCTGCCCAGAGAAGAACTTAATGAGGTTCAATAAAGGGAAGTGTAGGGTCTTGCACCTGGGGAAGAAGAATGTCAGGCACCAATAGAGGTTAGGGGTGGACCTGCTGGAGAGCACTTCTGAGGAGAAGGATCTGGGGATCCTGGTGGAGAGTAAACTCTCCATGAGCCAGCAATGTGCCCTTGTGGCCAAGAGGGCCAGTGGGATCCTGGGCTGCGTAGGGAAGAGTGTGGCCAGGAGGTAGAGGGAGGTCATTCTCCCCCTCTGCTCTGCACTGGGGAGGCCACAACTGGAATCCTGTGTCCAGTTCTGGGCTCCCCAGTTCAAGAGAGACAGGGAACTGCTGGAGAGAGTCCAGCGTAGGGTAACAAAGATGATGGAGGGATTGGAGCATCTCCCTGATGAGGAAAGGCTGAGAGAGCTGGGGCTCTTTAGCCTGGAGAAGAGAAGGCTGAGAGGAGACCTTTGTAATGCTGACAAGTATCTAAAGGGTAGGTTGAGGGAGGATGGAGCTGGACTCTTTTCAGTGGTTCCCAGTGACAGGACGAGGGGCAACGGGCACAAGCTGGACCATGGGAAGTTCCACTCCAATCTGAGGAGGAACTTCTTTGGGGTGAGGGTGGCAGAGCCCTGGAAGAGGCTGCCCAGGGAGGGTGTGGAGTCCCCTTCTCTGGAGATCTTCAAGCCCCACCTGGATGCAGTCCTGAGTGATGTGCTCAGGGCAACCCAGGGGAGTTGGACTGGATGGTCTCTAGAAGGTCCCTTCCAACTCCAACAATTCTGTGATTCCTTTTCGGTGAGCAAGGCCGTGCACAAAACCCGCTGTTTCTGTAGCTGACAATGCAGCAATGGCCAGTCCAGGGTAAGATATTACCCAGTTTAGAGGGGTGGAAGTGGAAATGCAGAAAAATTGACAGCCGTAGAAATGCGTGCTGCAGACCACGTCTTTTCTTACTCCTTCTTTGCTTTGCTTCTAAACACATCAGTTGGAGAGGCAGAAGAGGAGATGTATATGGAGGAGGTGTGTCTAAGTCCAACAGTGAGGTAAGATACAGAAAAGGAAAGGCAAGGTTCAGGTAGCTTGCATCAAAGCTTATACACCGATTTTTTTAACCTTTTTAAAATACATTTTGTGCATGATTTTCCTGAAGAAAGCTTTCTTTGCATTGGTCGGGATAAGTAAAACATTTTGATTTGTGAACAGCTGAAAGCTTTGCACTGAATTAATTATTTATTTTTAGGTATCAGAAGAAAACCCAAAGAACATTCTTTCATGTTCTGAATTTTTGCCGGCTTAGTTTATAAGTGAGAAGTCTTACTTCTTAATTTCATTTTCACTTCTGAGTCATGCTCTATTTACATGAAAAATGGGATTTAATTAAAATGTGCAAAACAGTATTAAAAAATAGCATTTAATTGAATACAAGTGCTTTAAATGTGATGACTATGGTAAAGAAGAAATAAGGATGTGCTTGGTCACGTGCTGTGATATGACAGAGGCCAGCGTTGCCCCCAAAAGAAGTAGACTTGCCCTTTCTGCACATCTTTCCACTTTTTCTCCTTGCAGAAGTGTTTGTGCAGCAACATAAGTGAGCTGGATCAAGGGATCTGGTCCAGGTCAAACCTAATCTGGCCAAAAAAATAAGTTGGTTTTAACCTAAACAAGGTCTCCAGTTCAAGTGCTTGTGCTGGCAGACAGGAGGTGTTAATGTGGTAGTTATGGGGGCCGGTTGATAGCAGAGATTGCTTCTCTTGGCCGCAGCACTGTCTTAAAATGAACATGAAAATGTAGTTTATATGGCATCTGTACAGAAGCTGGCTTGTATCCAGCCTACTGAGAGCATAAGCTCAACGAGTGCACAACAGTCTGCACCTGACCTAAACATAGGGAAACAGGCCCTACATTTATTAAAAACACACTTTGCATTTAAAAACTGACTTATTAACCAACCAGAGGAAATGCTAAATATTTGTAGTCATTTGACTAATTGTTTCGAAGGCATTTAGGCCTTCTGAAAACCCCATTAAATACCTAAGCAATTGTGTCTTAATTCTATGGGAGTTAGGTGCCCTATCTGCTTAAAAATTTTTGAAAATTCCACCACTCACCTAAAACTGAAAATGACTTGTGAAATCTAGCCCTGGATCTTAATGGTTTTATGCTGAGTAGATCTTCCCCTTGTCCACCATTTTTTTTATTCATTAGCTGGAAAAAGGAAATAAACATTCTAATTTGTACTTTATCTTAGAGTAAAATTAAAATTACTGTTTTTCTGTACAAACAGGAAATTGAAAGAATTTTTACATGCATGTGATTATAAGATTATTTCTAAGCACTCATGAGCACATTAACAGCGTTGTTTTGTAGACATTTCATCATTAATGTGTATGTTACGGCATTGATTCTAAGACATTTCACATAAAAAGTGCACGGTTTTTTGGAGGTAATTTGGATCCCATCACTATGGCTAAACCAGTTAAGTTTTCAACAGTTAAACATAAATTTAGATGAAGGTGATTTATATCACAGTTTACCTTGCAGGTCTGGTTTTATCCATTCCACCTGCACACCACTGAGTTGTAAACTGCTCTTGCTCTGGCAGGTTTGCAGACCACCAGAAATCCACAAGACACCAGAAAGGGATCCTGGAGGGCGCTGGAATCTAAACAAAATGCTGAGGAAATACTGTTGTAGGCCCACACAGGTTATACATCTGAAGATTTACTGTGAGGGTGGTGAGGCACTGGAACAGGTTGCCCAGCAAAGCTGTGGCTGCTTCATCCCTGGAGGTGTTCAAGGCCAGGCTGGATGGGGCTTTGAGCAACCTGGTCTGGTGGGAGGTGTGGGGGGGTTGAAACACAATGATCTTTGAGGTCCCTTCCAACCCAAACCATGTTATGATTCTATAAGATTGTGGTCACACTTGATCAAGAATGGAGCCAGGGACTGAGATGGTTGTCTACCTGTTCGTCAGAGGCACTTCACATTCAAAATTGTAGCCCCAAAGATCGGATTAGTGTTTCAGCCAGCTGAGTATTTTCCTTGGGTATCTGGATGTTCAGACAAGGAGTTGTGGGGACACAGAGGAACAGAGTTGAGAAAATCAAGTCAGGCTGTTACTATCGTGTTAGACAGAACTCCAGCAACACCTTTATAGGTTTGGCTTGAGTCTTAAGTTCCCCTTGTTCCAGGAGCTTGAGTTGTCCTTTGGATTGGACCTCTTGCATTTGGTTACTAAATGAAATATTCTTCCAAAAGATCACAAGAAAACAAATGTAGGTTTCTGGCTATTTAACTGTAGTAAGGATTGTCATAATTCTTAGGAATTCCTGAAGTTACAGCAATTTGTGCATGGTGGATCTGCTCTTCCAGTAGAGAGGGTGATGAGATCTTTTTTCCTATGAGGTCTTTCTCTTCCTCTGCCCACCCATATTGTTTTAAATAAAAGTAATGAGCACTGCATATTTATTACTTATATTGTTATGAAGCATAAAAGTGTACACCCTTCTGAAAGAATTTTAGGGTTTGACCCATGTGGATAGAAGCAGTCTGGTGTTAGGCATGCAAGTTTTGGGGAGTAGCCTGGCTCTCCAGACAAATCACTGTATCAAACACTTTTTAAAAATTATTTGTTCTGTCTTTGTACATGCAAAGGTAGAAATGGAAGTGCAGTAAAAGGAGTCATGGAACTCAGCAGGCTGTACACAGATTTGGTTAGGGCCAATTTGGAGGGGTAGAGTGCAGTTTAAAAGTGTGCTCTTGAAAATAGATGTCTAGCAGCTCCTCAAAATGGACCTCACTTTCCACTTGGGTTTTTCAGCCGCTGACCTGTTCCTCAAGATGGGGCCCTCAGTCATGGGGTGGCCTGAGGGTGAGAGATGGCCAAAGTACCTCACGTAGCCTGATGAATAGCCTCTTCATTTTGTCAGTAGGAATCCTGGTTACTTATTTTTGTTCTGCTTGATACTGAAAAAAAGAGAATTAATTTATCTCCACCTAGGTGTCATAGCTATAGCTATATATGTCGTCGATAGCATCTGGCTAGTTAAAATGTGTACTTGCCCCCCAAAGTGCAAATTGATTTGTTGTCTAAAGCGGCTTTTTTTTTTTTTTTTTTTTTAACATATATCACCTCCTGAAGAATTGGTTTCTTTACCAGAACTCCATGGTAAATCTCTTTTCACTTTTTCCTATTGAAGTTTTTCTGCTTTTCATAAATAATTTATTCAAGAGACCAGAGAGATGGCTAATGAGAGATTAACTCAATGCCCAAGGGCTAGGGCATTTCCCTGGGATGTGGTAGAGTCAGGCTGCAGGATCTTGCTTCAATTAATATTGCTTCCCACATCACAGGAGAGTGTGCTCACTGCTGGGAAACACATTTGTGTGTAAATCTTCAGCTCTCTTTTGTGTATGTTAGCCAGGCACTGGCCTATATATTAGACAAAAAAAGTGCTAAGTTGAAGAATTCTGCTGAGGCTAAGTCATGGAGTAGACTAACAGTTGAGCAGAGTTGTTAGGATTTTGGGCAGCGTTAAGTATCCAAATGGGAATCTGGATTCAACATAGTCTTCTTAATCGGCACCCGAGCGGGGATTTCAGTGGTTCTGCATGTTAG